GACGCGGCGCAGCAGCTGCTGGACAAGGGGCTTCACCCGCAGACAATTGCTGCAGCGTTTGCAGAGGCTGCGGCGCAGGTGGGTTTTTCTTCCGTTTTCGGGGAATTCGACTCCCTTTTCTCCTCGAAAGCTCCTCTTTTCCAGAGTTTATTCATTTCAATCCATTTTGGTTCCGTTTTGGAGTGAAAATGACGCAAAATGCACCTTTTTTGACCTCAAAGCGGCAAAATAATCCCCGAAATTCCCCAATTTTCAGCACAAGCCCTTATAATGAAGTGCCCCTGATCGGCTCGCGAAGCATTTCTTTCGAGCGATTTTGCGGCTGTGTCTTTTGAGGCTTTAGGGTTTAGGGTTTAGGGTTTAGGGTTTGGAGGTTGTTTTGGTGCGTATTGGAGCTGTTTTGGGGGCCCTGCATGCGCTTTCCCCACTGCTGCTGCTGCTGCTGCTGCTGCTGCATGCAGGCGGAGCCGATTCTGCGGGCCATGGCTGTTCCTGTGAATCTTGAAGATCGCGAAAGTATAATTCAAACAGCTTCGACTTCACTGCAGTCGAAAGTTGTTTCGCAGAACGCGGCGCTGCTGGCGCCCATAGCCTGCGACGCGGTCACCGAGGTCCGCCCGGATTTCGAATTTTCTCCGGAATTTTTTCGTTTTTCTCTTTATTTTTAATTCATTTCATGAAATGTTTTTATTTTCGTGTAAATTCATTCAAGTTCTGTTCAAATCGAGCCACGATCGGCCGATTTCTCTTCGAAGTTCAGGAAATTCGGAACCGCGGACACGGCGATTCCGAATTTCCTTAACTCCGACTTCCTTCCGGTTTTTTCTCTCTTCTCATTTTTAATTTATTTTCAATTTAATGAAATAGTTTTTGTTTTATTCCATTTCATCGAAATTCTGTTCAAATCGAGCCAGGATCGGCCGATTTCTCTTCTCCCGACGCTGTTCATATTTCAACGGCTTTCCTTCTAGTTCAACTTGTGCTGCTGCTGCTGTATTCTTTTCATTTGCTGCGGCTCTTTTGCTGTTTTGCTTTCTTCTTTTTTTGTTATTGATATTTTGCCACCAATCTGCTGCTCTGATCTGTCTTTTTGTCCTTTTCTTCCCGTGTGGGGCCTCAAGGTCTTCGAATTTCCCATGCGGCTTTTGTTCAGCTTCTTTTTCCTCTTTTCACTTTTGCATTTTGTGCATCTGCTGGCACTTTTATGCCACACTGAGCTGCTGCTGTTTCTGCTGCTGCTGCTTCATCTGATGCTGCTGTATCCAATACTTCTCGTCCTATTGCTGCTGCATGCGTTGCTGGTACTGCCACATGCGTTTCTGCTGCTGCTGCACGCGTTGCTGCTACCCCTGCACGCGTTGCTGCTACCCCTGCACGCACTGCTGCTGCGTCGCTGCGGCTGCATGCGTTGTTGCTACTCCTGCATGCGCTGCTGCTACTGCTGCATGCGCTGCTGCTGCTGCTGCTGCTGCTGCTGGGTGCGCGCAGGTGATGCGGCGGGACACGGGGCAAGGCTGCCAAGTGCGGCTGCAGGACATTCGAGTCGTCAAGAAGTTGGGGGGAACTGTAGAAGACTCGGAAATGGTGAAAGGCGTTGTGTTGGTGCAGCAGAAAGTGGCGAAGAGAGCAAACGGCCCCACGCGGGTGCAGGGCGCGAAGATCGGTGGGGCTGCGGGGCCAGGCTCTTCTTCTAATTCAAGTTTCAGAAACTTCTTTTTCTGTTCAAACTTTTTCGCTTCTATTTCCGCTTTTGGCTCCGCCGTGCATGCGGGGCGCCGGATTGCATGCATGCGTTTCGCGCGTTCTGTGCTGCACTTGTGGACCTGCGAACGCTGGAAGTGGTCACTTCAAACATGGAAATGTGTATAAATGACTTTTTAGAAAAGAGTTTTTTGGAAAGACTTTTTTGAAAAGGTTTGCAGTTCTTTGCATGCGCTTTTGCAAATTCGGGTATGAGTCATTTGGTTTGCTGCAGTGGTTATTTTGCTGCTGTTCAACTTGTCGAATTTCCCAATCCTTTTCCGTTTTTTTCCAATTTTCTCCTTCTTTTTGCAAATAAATTCAAATTGAGTTGTTTTATTAAATTAGTTTGTTTTAATTGAATTGTATTCCCAAGACTGCGTGCTTTCCTTGCCTGCGCTGGCGTGGGCGTGCAGGTCTTATTCAGTTTTGCCTTTCTGCACCCAAGACCGACATGGAAAACAACATTGTAATAACAGATTATTCGCAAATGGACAGAATGTTGAGGGAAGAAAGACTTTTGATTGCCAAAATGGTCAAACACATCGCAGCCACTGGCTGCAACTGCCTGCTCATTCAAAAGAGCATTCTGCGAGATGCTGTTAATGTGGGTTTGGATCTTTTCCAATTCCTGTTCTTCTTCTAGTCTTTTCCTTCAATGTTAATTTGTGTTTATTTGTTCCTTTTCAATTCTTTGGGTCTTTACAATTTCCACTTTTCCCCTTTCTCTCTGCCTTCCGCTCCTGTTTTCTATCATCTAGCTTTCTTTCAAGAATCAAAACTTTGCGTTTCATCTTTTTCAAGTTTGCGAATTCGTTTTTTGAAACTCAATGAGGAAACAGAATGTGGAGAGTGTGGCTTGTTGCTTTCTGTCTGTCTCGCTTTTTGGGCTACTTTCGTTGAGTCTTTTCCTGTGACTGTTGTGTTTGAAAATGTGTTCTTTCTCGCCTTTTGTGCGATTAAAGTTGTGCTTTTTCTCATGAACATTGTAATTAAAATTAATTGTTGTTCTGTCTCGTCTTTATTTATACAATGTCAACAACAAGAGCACAAGTGTCTCGCTAAGCGTAAGCTGGGCAGTGCAGCATTCATTGGTCTTGTGATATTTTTTATTTTTAATTTTATCTTTTTTGTATCTTTTCAAACTCCGCATTTCCTTTTCAAGACAAGACAGCGCTGCGTTTGTCGTTCCCATTCGTGTTGCAGCTTTTTTGTTTGTTTCTGTTCTTTGTCTTTTTTGTTTTCAGGACTTGTCTCTTGACTACCTGGCGAAAGCAAAAATACTTGTTATTCGAGATATTGAAAGAGATGATATTGAATTCCTCTCTAAGACCCTCGGCTGTTCGCCGGTGGCCTCTCTGGACCACTTCACTGCAGATAAACTGGGGCGGGCGGATCTCGTTGAAGATGAATTGGTGGGACATTTCTATTTTTAAATTTGTTTTGAAGTTATTTTTAAAGCCATTTTCAAATTTTGTAGAGCTTTTAACTTTAAAGAACTGCATTTCACGGCGGTTCAGCATGTGAAGTGGCATTCAGCTTCTCGTTTGCTTCAAGGAGGGTCTGGGGATGTCTTGGGAAGTGGACATCGAAATGAATTCCTTTTAATTCAAAATAAAATTATAATTATAATTATTTAGAATTGCAAATTCATTTCAGGTACCCGGAGGAGGCCACATCGTGCGCATGACAGGAGTTCCTTCCCAAACGGCAGTGACAGTTTTGTTGCGCGCTTCCAACCAGTTGGTGAGTTTTTCTTTTTCGAATTCTTTGTTTCTTTTCTTGTATTTTTCGAATTATTTGTTTTATATTTCTTTATTTAATTATTATTTTCATTCTCTGATGCTTTAATAGCGTATGCGACAAGCGTTTGGGGGCTGTTGCCTGAGCCTCTCCATCTCTGCAAGTTACATGCTTTCTTATTTTCACAAATATGTGCATGTCTAATTGTCTAGATGTGCAGAGACACAAGTCACACAAAGCAAAGGCCCCACATATTTAAATAATTAATCTAATTAAAGTTTATAAAATGAATATTAACTAGAATACAACAAAGAGATAATTCAAAAGTAACGGACATAGGCTTTACCACTCCACTGCATGCCACTGTGTGGCCTATTGCATTTACTGCTTGTTCATCAGCGCGTTTCAGCCGCGCTCGCTCTGCTGCTGTTGCTGCTGCTGCTGCTGCTGCAGATGCTAGACGAGACCGAAAGGTCTTTGCACGACGCGCTGTGCGTGGTTCGCTGTTTGGTGAAGAAGCAGTTCCTGCTTCCTGGGGGAGGCGCGCCAGAGGCGGAGTTGTCTTTGAGGCTGCATGAGTGGTAAGGAATTTGCAGCAGCAGCAGCAGCTGCAGAAGCAGCAGCTTAGATATTTGCGTTTTTTGTTAACTCCGCAACGCGGAAACACCTGTAGCCCGTTTCTTCACCGTGAACAATTCAATAGGCAAAACAAGAGCTGCCCGAGCCTGTCTGCTGCTCCCTCTGCCTGCTGCTGCTGCTTCTTCTGCTGCCAAAGAGGGTCTTTGCTGCCAGAAGTTCAGCAAAAGTGTTTAATTGGCATTTCTGGTTTTTGCTGCTTCTTCTCCAGGGCCTGCACTCTCCCCGGTCTTAACCAAATGTGCGTAAAGCGCTTTGCGGAGGCCCTCGAGGTGGTGCCGTACACTTTGGCTGAGAACGCAGGTAGGCTTGTCTTGGCAGGTTTCGAAGATTTGAAGCAAAAAATATCATTTTTCCAGGATGTAGAGCAACAAATTTCAGATTTTCGATATTTAACGCAATTAATATCCGGTTTCGAATGTTAAACCCAACGAGTGTCAGGTTCCCAGGGCAAAAGAACGAATTTCAAGTTTTTAGGGTTTAATGCAGCAGATTTTAGGTTTTTAGGTTCTCTGAGATATTAAAATGCAGCAGAGTAGAAGGGTTTGGGTGTTTTGTTCTCCACAAAACCTGCGGTCGCGCCGAGCTTCATGCCCTCGTCTGCTGCTGCTGCTGCTGCTGCTGCTGCAGGTTTGCAGCCCCTGGAAGTGGTGTCTGAGCTGCGCCACCAACACGCCATGGGCAAGACGAGCAGCGGCATTGACATTCGGCAGGGCTGCGTGACGGATATGCTGCAGCGGCAGGTGCTGCAGCCGCTGCTGGTGACGCTGAGCGCAGTGCAGCTGGCTGCGGAGGCTGTTGCGATGATTCTCAAAATAGACGACATTGTCATGTGCAGATAGTCTTTTAAACCCCGTGCAAATAATCTTTTAAATCATTTGCGGATAATCTTCGAAGGGTTCGCCCGCGAATTCACCGCGGGCTCTCCAGCTGCGGTCTTCAACTGCGAACGGAAGCAGTGCAGACTTGACTAGGGGCGCAGGAGTTCAAAACTTGCCAGTCTCTTTGCTTTCTATTTCGGTTTTTCTTCATTTTGTAGCTCTTCAACTTGCAATTATTGCTACAGGGACCACTCAGTAAGATGGGCGCTGCAGAGTCGGCAGCGGATTCCCCGCAAGCAGCAACAACAGCAACCACAGCTGCATGCCGCTGCCTTTTCAGCCTGTCAGCAGCAGCAGCAGACTGGGCTGCGCAGCAGCTTTTCATTTGCATTAAAAGCAAAAGAAGTGAAACGCAGAAAGCACTTCCACTCAGCGTAGTTCAGTGCCCTCCCGTTGTAGCTAACGCAGCAGTGGGGGACTGATTGAAGAACCTATTTCATTATTAGCACTTCTTTAGATCGCGGGGAAGAAACAATTCACAAAAGTGAAACAATAAATAGCTGCGCAAGGATCTCCTTCCTCTGCCGAGCAGTTATGCGCAGCTTGAATTTCTCAACACGGCTTATAATGTGATAACAAAAGGGAAGAGGCGTCGCTTCAGCTGCTGCTGCAGCACTTCAGCCGCTGCTGCTGCACTTCAGCTGCTGCTGCAGCACTTCAGCTGCTGCTGCCTAAACCCTTCGCAGCGCGCAGTGTGAAGTTCGCGCTGCTGCGCCACAAAGGCTGTCTTGAAGTCTCCCGCTGCAGCTCTGTGGGCAGCCAATACGCAGCCGCTTTGCTTCAGTCTGCATATGTTGCAATAGAATGCGGAATTGACGGGTGGCGGTCCGCGAACCTGTAAACTTCCAGCCCCGCCTGCAGAAAAGATGGCAAGAGCGGCTAAGACCTGAACTGGAGTGAAGATGCCAAGTTACTCGTATAATGCCAAGCTCATAGACCCTTCAGGGGCCTCTTGATTGGCTTATTCTGCTTTTTCGTCTGCTGTGGCTACGAAGATCCCCTTATTTGTTGGCTGTGGCTACGAAGTAAAGCAACTGTCTTTGCACACATTGCAGTTCACACGCACGTTTCTTAGCAACTCCAGCGAGCCGCTCTTCGTGTCGTACGCCTCCGCGTAGACAACGCACTTAATGCCCTGAGCAAATAGCAGCAAACAATTGCATTTCTTGCTGCTTCCTTGTCATTCCTTTTGTCATTTCCATGTGAAGACATCACCACTGGCACTGAGGAGAACAAGAAGAACAATTTAGCATCCCGATGTGCACAAAAAGGGCACACACTCTTAAAAAGACACAGTAAAACAGTAAAGGCACCAGATTCACCACTGCATGGACAAGCTCCTCGCAGTGTTACAAGTTTGTCGCAAAATTGCTCACAGTACTTGAACAGCAAGCGCAGTGCACTTTATGTTTTAATTGATTTGCAATATTCTCTATTATAATCCCTTTCTTAGGTGTATTCAACTCAAAAGAGCTGACGTACAGCTTGAATCGTTAGTTTGGCGCAGCCCAAGCAGGGCAGGCACGTCACGTAGAGAGTTCCTCCGAGACAGCGTTCTCTGCCTCACCACAGAAACACAGCGGAATCCCACAGCAGAATCTTTTCTAAAGTGGATTTAAGTGCGCATAAACAACAAATTAAGTTTCGCCTGAGCCTTCTTGTGATCTTAAGCAGAGTTGCAATGCCCAATCCCCTTCAATTCTGAGCAGACGAAGTCCGTAAGAGTCAGGACTTAAAAATCACCCCTACCTGCTTCCAGCAAGGCATTGGCCTCAGCGTGAATGCAGCTGCACGCCTCCAGCTGCTTGCCCGCGCGGATTGTGGGGTCTTTGCATCTTTCGCAGCCTCCGTCGAGGCAGTTTGTTGCAGCTGAGTGGGTGCCGTTGTAGCCAGTGGACACCAACTGCACAGAAAACACACTAACTGCAAAGAAAACAAAGTTTTAAAGTTTCAAAAACATAAGCCCCGCCATTTTCAGTAGCAGTACTCCATATAAGAAGCCCAAGTGCATGCCAAGCCCTTGGGTCTCAGCCCACCCGGTTGCTGCGGACAACAAGAGCGCCGACTCTGCAAAAACAAAATCTCACACATTCCAATGAAACTATTATTATATGAAGAATGCTATTCTTCAGTGCAAAAACAAAAAATCACACATTCAAATAAAACTATTTTGAATAGTATTCTGCAGCCTCCCAGCCACACGAACGAAGCCTTTTCGGTCTTAGCCGCTACAAGTGCAGCTCAGGGCTGTATTTAAAAGCCTAAGAGAATAAAGTTTGGACTTAAGAATTCCCAACTGGCCATTTACTAAAACAATGAAGTTTAAATTTCAAAATTCCCTTTTTGCCTGTCACCTTCGCTTCAGGCAATTCGCACGGCTCGCAGCCAACGACGCCAGGCGAATGAAATACGCATCCCAAGAGGGGCGGCGGCGCTCGGGGTTGACGATATCGAGGCCTGAAGAAGAAAAAGAAAGAAATAAAAGCAAAATATTCGAATCCAAATAGAAAAAGAACTTCAAAAAGGCCAAAATAAAAAGAATAAGAGTATTTGAATCCAAATTGACAGACAAAACGCCCTTTTAATCGAGGGAAAGGATGCGCTGCATGCGCTCGCTCAGTGCGCATGCATGTAAACCCCGTGCAGACCAGAGTGTACTAATCCAAAGATTCTGTTTCTAAAGAAGAATAAGAAAGGCTGCACCATTAATTCGCCAAATAAAAGATAATTCTGCTGCAGCACAGCAGCTGTGCGAGTGTTAGAAGCCCTCTAAGCTACAAAGAAAAGACAGGCGCAGAAACGCAACAGTGCAGCTTCTGCCAACAATTAAAGGCGAGGCCTAGAGGGCCATAAAGGCTCACTGCGCAGTTTCTCTTCGAGAGAACTTAGCCCCCCATCACCTAAAATGATTGCGTCTGCCTGGCGCATGCCTAGAAAGCAGCACAAAAAGGAAATAAGTCAAAATCGAGAAGTAATCATTAAACAGTTCTACCAGGTCCTGAATGCTGGTGCTCGTAAGCAAGTCTCATGAGGCAGCGAACTAAATAAAGATGAATTACAGGCATAAATTCCTTTTCCGCCTTTTTCCGCATCTGTCCCGAACATAAGCTGCAAACAAAAACACGAACTGACAGCAGCAAAAAGCCTCTTTCCCACCACCAGCCCTGGCTTCCTGCCCGCTCAATCTGGCAAAGAAAAAGGAAAAAAGAAGGAATAAGAAATAAAAAAGCAAATTTACTTTGTCTTCCCGAGCCAAAAAAGCAGAAACGTCACTTGCTGCTGCGCGCTGCAGCCGAGTGAGAATGGGCGCGTCGACGGCGAGCAGCAGAAAGAGAGGGCGTTTTCTGTTAAGTGCGCAAAAAGTCCAAAAAAGCTTTTTTCTTTGCAATTATATTTTATTAAATAAAAAAAGACATTTTTTGTGATGTTAAGGAATAAGATGCAAGTTAGTTTCACCCCAGATCAGCCCCTCAACGCCCATGCGCGCGCCTCCACCCACCTGAATACGTTCACCTGCTCCAGTGTCTTGAAGCCCAACACCAAGAAGTCTTTTTGCCAATTTCTCATGCCTAAAAACAAAAACGAAGTATTAAATGGGTCAAATTAAAGTTTAAAGCCCTGAACTGGTCGCATCTGGCCTGCTTCTGCAGCAGATTCATACTTTTCAGGATGCAGAGGCCCGAGCTTCACTTCTCTGCCAAATGCTCGTAGGTCAGCTGTACGTACAGTGGTCCATCGCTGCTATTGCTGCTGCTGTTGTTGCAGTCGTTGGGCTTTCTGCTGCTGCAGCCGCGCCTGCAGCAGGTGCATCTGTTGCTGGGCTTTCGCTGGTTTCCACTGTAGCAAGCGAAGTGCTGTCTTCAGCAGGCGCCAAGTTGGAGGCGTTTTGCTCAACTATTTCAGAACAAACTCCCTTCTTAAAGCCCCTGAATTCGCCATTTTGAGGTCCACTTTCCACTTCAGTACTTGCGAATTCGCCTAAGTTCAGAATGGTTAGGCCGTGCAGCTCCTGCAGGGCCGCGGCAACTGCCTTTTTGCCACTCTTCTGGGGGCCAACAATGCCCACCACCACCATTCTAGCCTCCTTTCAAATGGCCCGGAAGCAGAAACCCTAAAGTTCGTTTGCTGCAGTGGGAAGATAGTGCAGCAGCAGCCTCGCCGCTGCTGTTGGCTGCCTCTGCAGTCTCACCCTCAGACTCCCTTTTAGAAGCAGCGGGGGACTCAGTGATGCAGCTCATGTCATTGTTTTGGTACACTGCTGAGTCACCAACCACCCAGACAGGCACAATCAACAAGGCCCTGAGACTGCAGAGCCCTCGGGGGCGAGGGCGGGGCAAAAGGCTAAGAAACTGAAAAGGAAATGGCAAACGCACTGAAAAATTCGATAATAAATGTCAAGAAATTGCAGTTGCGCTCTACGCGAGTGAAGACTGCGCGAAGACTCACTGAAATAACATGTGTCAAGTGTGGGGCTGTGGGAGCTACTCGCCCGTCTGTATGCGCAACAAGAATAGCTCTAAGCTACACAAACAAATTATTAAAATACTTTACAAAATGGATTTAACAATTTTACTAAAAAGCGCATTTATCTCTCCGCCTCCTCCTCAAATACGCTATCAGCACCCACCACGGAATTCCCATAGTGTCTTGTAACGAGCCCGCACCTGCCTTCCTTGCGCTTTCATGGGTGCAACCCTGACCGCATTCTGCAAGAATAACTCAACTTCAAAATCTAATTAGTACAAAAACGCATTATTTCATGAAGCCGTGAGCTTTAAATGACCAAAATAGAACTTCCGGTCGAACGCAGCGTTTCGCAGGCCGGTGCATGGCGTCACTGGGAGCCCCGGAAGCTGCAGAGGCTCGAGCGAATGGTCATCTTGAGTGTTCTGTCTGTCTGTTACATTTAGAAGTTGTTAATTATCACCTCCGACGTTCACTTAGGCACTTTGGCTCTGGTATAGGGCTCAACTGCGGTGTTCTGCATTACATACCTGGTGTGGTGGGCATGCAGTGCCAGACTGACCAGTGGACCACTTGTGAATACTTCGTGAAGACAGCCCACCAATGGGCCCGCCAATGCATTCGCCTCATACGTAGAAGCCTCACTACGATGTTATCGGGTGTTTACTTAAGTGCCTGCGCCCACAGACACCTAATCACAAAATAGGCACACCAGCGACACCACCAAATTGCTCGTACTCGCAGGTCCATAGAACATCCACAAGACACCCAGAATCACAGCTAAAATGTATTCATGAGCACAGATCTTACGCTACACTCCTCGGGCCTCCGTGCAGAAATGTATGCAGAGTGCCATGCAATTTCACAGGCCTCACTAAGAGTGAGAAAATTGTTGTTCTCACCGTCTGTTTTCGAAGGAGAAGACTCATTAATTGAAGGCCACTTCAAGCTAACTCATCAGGGGAAGCGCAGCTAGTTATTACAAGTGCGACTTCCTTGTCATGCTGCAATTATGTGTTAGCAGCTAAGTGCTGTCGAAGACTGCAGAAGAAAGCGAAGAGATTTAATCACTACTCCAGGCTAATTTTTTCGGTTTTATACATCTTTATTTTTGAGATTAGCAAATGTTATAGTACTTAATGGACAGTAAAAGCTATGAAATTCCTTGGTCTTCATAGGGCGCAATGTCCTTGAAAGGCCAACTCAAACAGGAACTGATGGCACGCAGAATGGCTTTATTCCGTCTGTGAGCATCTTGCACTGAGACATCCAGCCAGTTTCTCCCCCCGCCGTGGTAATTCAACGGCCAAATATGGAGCGCCAGTCTTCAACACAGCCATTTGCTGGACCTTTTGCATTTGTCGTGAGCTGTGGCTAACAACCAGATATTCAAGAGCTTTGCTTGTTTTGGCCCGCTGAATGATTTATTTTAGCTGCACACCTGTCTTGCTAACAAGAGCCTCTAGGAGCTGTGGTGAGTAAACTGTGAATTAATCGAAATTCGACAGTAGCTCATAACACACACAATTTCTTGTAAGGGCATGTTGTACTGCAGCACTTGCTGCCACGCCCTAATCGAATTGCTTTAAATCAAAAATGCCGTTTCGTTTCCATCATCATGGGTTACCTTTTCATAAAAAGTTATTGAGATCAGAATGTTCTAAACGCCGAAAAATGTGGGAGCTCTTTAGCTTGCTATATATTAAGGCGTAGGCTACAAGGCACTAAGCTGAAGTCCGCTGGCGCCAAAGGACTGCAGCAGTTTTTGAATGCTGCCTCATGCACATTAGTACTACCAAACTTAGAAGACGTACATTCAGACTGCAACATTTTATGCATATTTACTAGTTCCATCACGCGCCTATTCAGTGCACCTGTGTAGGCCAACATATCAGTGGCTACTGTTAGGTAAACGCATGCAATTAGAAGGGAATAGTCACCTATTAGCCACGCCGCGCTGACTTGCACAGTAAAGCTGCACCTATGTAGGACAAAAAGCAAAAGCAAATGGAGGAACTCCAAAGAATGCCTGATCTTCTCACCTACAGAAGCCTCTCAGGACATCGAGACCTCAAAAAATTCACTTGAACTTATGTCAGTGTTCCTTATGTACAGAAAAATTCACTTCGTCGGTCGCGTGTCTCTGTAGGGTCTAAACTAAACTGCAAAAGATGCTCCATCTCAATTCCAAATAACAATGCGCAGTGGTGTCTTAAGTTCGCCGGAGAAAGCCGTCTCCTATGTTGTGAAACCTTTCTTGAGCCCCTAACAAAATAAAAGTGGACGAATTTTGCATCTTTCACCTCTTATTTGCAGCACTGCAGCACTGCATTTCAGTGTGAGCCCCATGTACCTGCATAGATGAAGTGAGCGGCACGCCTCAGTTTCTCTTTGCCAGTATACAGTGCTGTTTCTTCTTCATTGCCAATATACACTTACTTTCTTCGAAAAAAGTGCTCCATGATCTGCCGTAGGCACTTTCTTGCTAATACTTGGTGCAATTCACGTATATGTAGGCGGTGGGAGGTAACACACCGTACGCAGACAGTTTTACCCTACAGGCCAGCATAGAAGCCGGTGGCAACAGTAAAATAGATACCACTGCTGGTAGCACGACTGCAGTGCACGTATTTAGTAGTTTCCCCCATGAGCTGATGAGCAGACGCTCGAAATTCGGCGTAGTTCTGTTCTTTCGGAAAAAAAGATCTGAAGCAAATCAAGGAGAAAAGTGGCATTGTTTGGCCTGCTTTGAAGCGACAACCAGCCGTGAGTCTATGCCAGGTGAAATGCCCTTTTGATTTTGTGCTCAGCGTCCTGAATTGGATCCGAAGACTCGACCTCTCTAACTAGTTTTACTTCATTTAAGTCAGTCTCGTGCCTAGCACCTGGAGATCTGTCCTTAAACATCTTTAGTTTTGAGCTGCTGAGCACACATGCTGCATTAGGAAGCCTACAATTCTTGAAAGTACAATATTGACCAAGTCTTATAGCGCGCGCAACCGAACCGCCTCCACTGCTAGGTAGGCTTGCTCAGCTCTACGGGTTCGGCCTCAGGTTTAGCCACATGAAGTGCACCAGAACCAGCCGTAGTTTAATTCAACTCAAAAAGTGCCACGCATCTGCAATAATTATTTCTGAGCAGAGCCAGCCTTATGGTGACACAGTGCGGCCCTTTGAGATAGAGTGCTTAGCGGCTGCTGCGTGCGCGTTTGAGTGAGGCTCTAACAAGTAAAGCTTCAAGCAGAGACGTTCAATCCAAGATGTAGCACCTAGAAAGAAGCTAAGAGTTACTAATTAAGACAGAAAAATTTGGGCCTTCGTCTCTGGCCTTGCCAATCTACTTTTTTCGATAAGTCCGTCCACACGCTTCCTCAACTCGGCCTGCGCTGCACCAAAAAAGCCATCGAAATCGCGTTTACAGCGACATAAAGCGTCCATTAACAACATTGCACTTCAGATATTGTATTCGGGCATTACTTTGTCAGAACAAGAACTGATGAGAGAACTCCGATGGTGTGCATTGAGTACGTCTGCCCCGGGAGAGCACTGAAGAGTACACATTCCGCAAATGGCCACGGAAACCTTGATTCTCAAAGGAACTGAACGCAATACGAGACTTTGACACTACTGAAAAGGTCTCGTTTCAATTGTCTAACTGTAATTTTAAAAAGCACAGAAGCTCCCCAAGCCTGAACTCCAGGCCCTTATTGGCGTCACCCTAGCGGCCAGCCTGAGCAATCGTGCGTGCAGCACTCTGCCAGATCCAACGACGCTCTGATATTGATTGCGCACCTAAATAAGAAGAAACAAGCTCACATTATTGGCCATCAACCACCAGCTTCCACGGATATATGCCCAATAGTGACACAGACAGCGTCCAACGCCCTGCCAGGAAACGTGCAGTTAACGATGGCGCATATTGTAGGTGTAAGATCTCTGCGTACGTTTGAGGAGTGTAAGAATAACTTTGGAGACCAAAATATATTAACGCTGTTATGCAATTCGTGCTTTCTCAAGAAGTCCTCGCAGGACACTGCCGAGAGGTGGTAAGGATTGCACCCCACAAGCCTGCCTTGCGTGTGGACGAATTAACCAATTAAAATGAATCTGTTTAAGACTGAAGAGGCTAAACCTACACTTGTACCTTCTTTTGAGGACCAGCAACCCCCCATTCTTCTGCTGAATTGGGGCGGCTACATTTCGTCATCGGGGGCTGGTCATTCCCTACCCCTGGTTTGGTGTGCATCGATCTGAGTGCTCCCGTGAGCACTGGGGCTGAGGCCAAACTGCCTCATACGCGTTTGATTACAGAAACTATCATACTTCATTTTTAAGATTAACAGTTCCAACAAACTTGGCGGCGCAGACGGGGCGATTGAGGGCGCACCACGTACTTCGTTGCCAGGGATGAATGGAACATTGAGTAGCGCCCTCGGGCTCTTTATACTAGCATGCATTAGACATTGATGTTGCTTTATTTTGAATGTAAATGGAACGAAAGGCTCACAGCGATAGCCGATTTGCTTCCTTGTACTGCGGCCCTCAAGAAAGCTGTCCACCTCGCGTCGTGGGATGCGCGGGATGTGGTTGCTCGGCGCAGTCACCATGAAGCCACCATCTTGAACAGGATCATTCTAGTCGCAGCGTGATTGAAGGACATGTATTGAAGGTGCCCACGTGAGGGCCAGGCGTCAAACAGCTCTCTTCGGCGATCTCATTGGCACAGTGCCGTGCCTCATTCCAGCGTTTCCCAGTTCTTGCAGAGCGGCGGCAAAAATGGCTCTCTCGCAGTTTCTCCCTGTTGCATGTGCTGCTCTCTGTGCGTGGGCTGCAGCGGCAGTGGAACAGCCACTGGTGGACGATTTCAGTCCAACAGCCATGTATGTGCATGATGCAATAGCCGCTGCCGAGCACTTTGACCCTGAACATCGGAGAAACGCCCAGGAAGAATTGCTGGCAGCAGCTGAACAGACTGTTGCCAACGAAGACCCTGTTCAGAAGCTTGTGTGGCGGGAGCTCTTCCGTTTCAGCTCGATGGTGTACGAGGACGTCGAGGCGTGGGCCAAGATGGGAAACGTTGATCTCGAAGAGCACCTCCAGTCTTTGATTAATGCAGAGCACAACCCCTACGAAGAAACGGAGTACTCTGCGGCGGTGAGAGAATGCATGACATCTGAGCTGCGGCTCGACTGGCAAGCAGCCCGTATAGAACACGTTTTTGAACACGCCCTTCGGACAATATCTGTGAACGAGCAACAAGACCTGGCGGATCTGATGGAGAAATACGAGCCTTTAGCTCGCTTTCTTAATGAGCTGAAGGAGTATTTTGCACGCCGTCGAGGCCAGGCTGTCCTCTATCACCGGAAACACCTGCTGGAGATGCTGGCGAACCACGGAGATAAGGCAGCGCCTCAGCTGCTGCTTGCAGCAGAAGACGAAATAAAAGAGAAAACCAAGTTGCTTCTTTCTCGCATGGAACGGCTAGAAAGCGCTGCACAGCAGTGCTACGAATCCGGCCAGCTGTTCAAGGGTGCCGTTACTTTCATTAAGGGGTTGCATCGCGTGGGATATGAATAGCTGCGAATTTAGTGAAGCCTTTCCATCCTCGAATGTCCAGTTCAGCGCAGCGCAAGGGCGCAGTAGAGAGGTCAAACGGAGCAAGAAAGTATTTCTTGTACTAATGCTGCACTGCAAAGAGTTGCTCACGAGCACCCTGTGAAGGACTTTGGATTTCAAAAGGCATTCCTTGAGTTCCCGTAGCCGAAGATGCTTCCTGTACATGTGCAACGAAGCGCTGTATACTCAAGGGCGCGAAGGTGCCTTACAATGAACGTAGCTCCTGCTTGAAGGACTTTACTGCAAGACCTCAGCGTCAGCGGACCTCCAAGGACGTGTCGATTTTGATGTCAGGGATGGAACGGGGTTTCTCCTGAATTGGTTTAAAGGGGCAGAGCAGTCTCTGACTCATGCCGCGGGCTTCTGCAAAGCCTGACTGCGACGAGACGTCGCGTTGAAAAGTGGTGTTGGCGTTCGCGGGATTTGTTGTTACCGACTTTGAGGGATAAGTGGTGCGTTACAGTGAACGTCATGAAGGCCACCTATCCAAGTCGCTGCCACTACGAGGGCATTCTTGCCGGCAGCTTGGCGGCCGAAACTGTTCGGGGGGGAGGAAGGGGTGCTCTGGGGTCACTCAGTGCTGGCGCAGGCTTCTGCTTCCCCCGTGTTTTATCTTACCTTAGCAGTCCGAAGAGCTGCGTGATGGAGCAGTGGCCCATTTGGGGCATTGTCTTCTACAGACATATATCGTGGATAGGTTATATTTGACTTTTCGGGGGTCGAAGCTCTTCCCTGAGCTAAAGGCCGCCCGGCAGTAGAAGAAATAAATGCCACAGTTTAAGCGCCGCTAAGCATCTGTTTACTTTTTTGATTAACAAGTAACTGCTACTCATGCGTCCAATACAGTCATAGCTTTATTGCATGTCCAGGCAATTGCGATTTGGCCTCCACTCTCCGGGCCTAATCTTAACCCCCAACGAATGGGGGGAGCTGTTCACCAATTATAAGCAAGTTCAACATTTTATGGGGAATTTGTAGTCTTCAAAATTGGCACAGCGGCTCTCGCAGAGCTTGCTGTGGGCCCTCCGCAAAAGTTGCGGCGCCACACTCTCGTGGCGATGAAACTGGTAGAGTCCAAGTAGTACTCATTATTTAGCAGCAGCATGGATATGGCACGACTAGGAACTCCCTTCGAAGGCATTTAGTGTCAGCACTATTGGTTCCAGAGCGTGCAGCCTCTAGTGTATAGGGTCGCCGTCACTTACACATGCCGTTGTCGGTGAGTTCTTCAGTGCACAGTGGCTGCTTCACGAAAGTATGGCAGCGTGCATACCTGCAAATGCCGCAGCTCAACCGCAAACGACTGCAGCTTCGCAGTCTCAAGGAACAATAGGTTCTTTGCTACCTTGGTCATGGTCGGCTGGGTTGGCCTCCAGCGAGACTGCAGCCTGGCGGTTTGGAGGCTGCTGCGGTGCAGCTGCACCGCAAACCAGGGCCGAAGTTGCCGCTGGTTCCATTGTCTTCAGAATTTTGGCGCGCGCATTTCCCAAGACCAGAATTCGACTTTTAACAGGTGCCTCCGACTGCTCGGAGGCAGCTTCCCCTTCAGGGCACTTCTGCTGGTTTTGCCGATTCGAGTCTGGTCTGATTTGATTTGCCAATGACTGTGGCTGCTCAGCGCGGCGACAGGCTGTCTGCGGCGCAGTAAAGGCCTTGGGTCGCGACAAAATCTGTCCGAGCTCACTTTCCGTAAAAAGCACGAATGTCAGATACCCATCACTGCTACTGCAGACCAGAAGCCGGCCATCCCCGCTCCAGCTGCAGTCTGTCATTGGCGCAAGGTGGAGGCGATGCAACACTGCGAGTGGGCGGCACAAAAACTGCGTGTCATACAGTAAGACGCTTCCATCAAGCGTGCATATTGAGTAGACGAATCTGGGGAAGACCATGTCCTGAGACACGCCGCTGTCCGTCTCGGAGCGGTCACCCTTTGGAGTGGAAACTGGATCTGCATCGACATTCATGCTTTCCTGTTGACTCTCTTGTCCTGGCTGTCTTTGCTGCGCTGCTTCCTGTGCAGATGGTGGAGTTGCTGGGTCCCCGGGAGCCTTGCACGGGCTTGCCAGGGGCACCATGTGTTGCCGATCTACAGCTCGAAAGAGCCAAGACCGGGTTTTCGCATACTGTTCCTCCAGCGCGTTGGCGGCGGGCACTTCGCTGCCTGCTGCTGCTGCACTTGCAGCGTTTGCTGCAGCAGATGCCAAGCCTTTCTTCTGAAGGCCCGGCGGCACTGGGAGGGGAGCGAAGAAACATGGGTTAAATCGCACGCAAACGGCTGGCCCGCTCTCAAGCCTGCAACGCCACACAGGAACAGCCCCTAAGCGGAATCTTATAAAAGTACTGGAGTTCACCTTTGAATGGAATTCCAGCTGCAACATCTCTACGTTCGGTGAAGCCGGAAACGCTAGAGAAGCGGCAGTCGGGGGCGATCTGTCGCTGCTCACCTGTGGGTGACAAAAGGAGATGTGCTCTGCTGTAGCAGCCGACGATGAAAAGCATATGCAGCAAAGAAAGACTCGCCAGTGTTGTGAGGAAGACAGGCAGCCGCGGCCTCTTGGGCGGAGCCCCCAGTGGAGTTGGCTGTGCTGCTGGCCCGCGGCGAAGCACTTGGAGAGGCTGCAGCCTCTGCAGCTTCCGCAGTTGGAGTTGGGCTTGGGTCACTTTCCCCTGGCAGAATCTGCTGCACCCCAGCAGGCGTGACCAGCAACGAACCATCAGGTGACCAGTCAAGGCGTCTGAAGAATGAAGGCAATTGGTTTTCCGCCAGAAACAACTGACGCAAAGGACCACTGCGGGAAGAGGCTCCTGCGCCGTTTCCTGGCGTTGCAGCGGTGCTTTGCTGCTCATTCTCCTTGTCCTCCTGCGGGAAACAGCGACATGAGGACAAAGATTAACAACAGTCCGTGCACAAATGACTAAAATACTTTTCCACTTTGCTTTCACCGCGCAAGAAACAAGAAAAGAAAAGACTATTCACTGACTTGTGCGCAATCCGCATCTCGCGCTGCCCCAGGCTTCGCCCAACACTTTATGGCCGCTTCGCAGCGCCACACAGGCGCCCGACCCGCAGCAGCCGCTGCTGCAGCAGCTGCTAGACCCCCCCCTCCTGCAGCAGCATTTTCTGCAGCAGTTGAAGTAGGCTGTGTTTGCTGCTGCGCTGTGGCCGCGGCCAAGCCAGGCTGGCCGCCTGGCGGGACTCGGCGGGACCACAGGCGGACTCTGAGTCGCAAATAAGCAAGCAAAAGTCCTAACTTAACATCAAAACCTGAGTTTTCTAATGCATTTTCCTTTCAACTATCTACCACCAGCGGGCTCTAAGTCGCAAATAAACACGCAAAAGCCCCAACATGGTCTCAAAAACTGAGTTTTCTGATGCACTTTCCCTTCAACTGCCTAATTTTTGTTATACTGGCGGCTCCAGAGAGCAGCTAGATTCACTGCAGGCCTTCTTAACTCATTTCTGTCTACCTAGGAATGCCCTTGGCTGCCTACGTTTGGTCGCTGCTCTGTGAGGCAATGAACTTCCCCAGCGGGTCAAAGGCAACGCCCTGAATGATATGGGAATGCCCCTCTAAAACGCGTCCAGATTTGGCTCCGAGGATATCTGCAGAGAGAAAGCAGCATATTTCAGGATTCACTACACTCCAGAACGCAAGCCAAGGAAGAATTGAAGTTAAACCCCCGTGCAATTCAGTTGGGACTTCACGGAAATCATAAAATGCATTACCTCCCGTGACATCGCACACAAATATCCGCCCGTCTTCGCAGCCTATGGCCAACTGAGTGCCAGAGGGAGCCCACGCTAACGTGTTGATCGCATCCGCCCTTCTGCACAGCAATTGAAAGGTTGTCAAATGGTCTACATTATTTTCTGAAAGCAACTGCTAATATGTTCAGCGCCAGTTAACATGAAATGGGATTGAATTCATAAATGCGTACACTATATATACACCGAAATTGTAATTAAAGAAATGAAAGCCGGAGAATGGTTTTCGCACATGTACTTAATGTATGTATCTTTGTGTTGGCTGTCGCTTGTCATAGAAGCCCTCTGTTCGTGCTTAAGGGAGAACTCCCCTGCGCTGCTGTTAAGGCCCGCAAGAGCTAGAGGCTTTAACTGACAGAGCTAGAGGCTTTAACTGACCTTAAAGATGATGTGCGAGACCACCACTCATGGTACTGGAGAAACGAGGCGTCAACGCCGAGGGGCACTGAGTCGGGCTTGTAGCTCCGCACCCAGAGGCAGACAGCATGGTCTGAAACCGAAACAAAACTGGATCTCAACTCGAGAAATAACTGTTGTGAAGGGGACTGAGGTGAGGAGCAGGGCTGTTGCTTCCTGCGCAGTGACGCAGTGTACGTACCGCTCCCGCCAGAAGCAAGAATGGTACCATGAGGATTCCAGCGTACACAATTCACCTCTTTCTCATGCCCGACAAGTCGAGATATACACGTCACTGCAAGCGAGCCGGAGGAGAAGTCCGCGTTCCAAAGCTGCAGAAACAGACAAGTGCTGCTTCTCATCACCTATTACTTCCTCAGCTACAACTGCTGCCTCAGCTGCTGCTAACATCTGCCACTTTCTTAATTGAGCTGCTGTCTTAGCTGTCACTGATAGTTCAAAACCACCGGAAGAACACACGCAGGCGCCCGCGGTGTTCGTTGCAGACAAAGACAAAGAGATAAAGATGTCTAGTGTAGCTGCATTAGCTGCAGAGGGTGGCCCACGTGTATGAACTCGTCGGCCCCCGCAGTGGCAATGCGGTACTGCAGCTTCTGCTGCTCATTATTTGTGGCACCTGCATCATCTGCTGCTGCGGGGGGCCCCTGGGTGGGCTGTACGTCCACCGAGTAGACGCGGTCTGCGAGGCGGTTGTTCTTGCAGTGCCACAGGACTTGGGGGAGAAAGACTTGAGGCATTTTGTGGGCAGTGGTGAGTTAGAAGAAGAACTGCGGCCACGACAAGACCCTGGGGGCGTTCTCCCGTTTCCATACAGCCAGTTTGCAAAGCAGGGACCACTTCGCTAGTCCAGTTAGCTTCAGATGTCTCGCTAGAGGCCCCCTTGCCCCCCTCTGCTGCTGCAGTCTTAGAGCAGCAGCATCTTACTTGGATTCTGCTTCAGCTGGCGGGCCCTGGCTGCTGGCTCCCCCCCAGCAGCCACAGCAGACGCCTCGGTTGTTCAAAGTGCTAAGCATGCCGCTCTTTAGGGGCTACACTGCTTGCTCGAGTGCATCATGCTTGGCCTTCGGTCTACGTGGCGCCGCGCAGACGCAATATTCTCACGTTGCCGTAGCTTTCTTCTGGACCTTCCCCCTCACATTTCACCATAAAATGGGATTAGGGAACACGGGATTCGGCAACAGGCCAAGCTTTGGGGCTGCTCCGCGCTGCACTGGAGGCGTAGTGTTTCTTGGGGTGGTTGACGCTGCCACCAGAAGCTGATGCCCTCTGATGTCTGCAGGGCACTTAATGAATTTCCGACGAAATCAAACATGTTTTAGAGGGAGTGGAGCACTAATTTCAAATTAACAGAGACGAACAGCGCATTTTTCTGCTCAATTCAGGCTGCGCAGCGACTGCCCACCCCTCAGCGGGGCTTGTGTAGCATCCTTCGTATTCGACACTTCAACCCGCCAATTATTTAAAAATAGTCAAAGACGCAAAACTTCCGATAAGTTCACCGTATGACAGCATTGTTTACTCAGAAAATGCGCATCTGTGTGGTTCTACGGCCAGGCATGTAGTTGGCGCTGAAATTGTGTTTCACCTTTGCATCGCGCGCGCCTTGTCGAAGTGAAATGCTGTACTTAATTACCGGAGGTGTGACACGTCTATAAAATATATAATATGAGTGACTAATTTGTCTGCCTGCATGATCCGTCTGATAATGTGTGGAATCCTTCCAAGCAGAAGGAGCTTGCTCCTGATCCACCAATTGTAGAGAAGCTCCCCCGGCATGTAATTACGGACGTGCTCATTCGCCATTTCACTTCTTATCCACTCTTCCCTTAACATAATTCTTTATAAATAGCTAGGCATTCCTCATTTCCTCTTGTACCATAATTCATTTCTTGGTGCATAGTACGTAGCAGTCACCGCAGGTCTTATTCATTGCCGGGGGCCACATGTCTACGCACAGAATCTTGCAGCGTTCTGGGAAAGCTTTTGTAGGGGAAATATATCAGCCACGGTCACTACCGAGGGTACGCCAAGCGGATAATGCAAAGAGAGATCTGACACTCTCAAAGAGGAACCGCGACGCGGGAGCTGAAAGGTTTCGCAAAGCAGCAATGTCTTACCGAGCGCACCGCATGGATAGCGCAGAGTGAAATCTGATGCTCTCAAAGAGGAAACGTGACACGGGAAGTGGAAGGCTCCGCAAAGCACCACAATACTGGCCGCAGGTCAACACTCATTGGGGCATTATACGCGATTTTTTTCTGCTGGATTCAAGAAAATTTTGTCCCCAGATAGATGAATAAGGGGTCGTAGCTCCGCATGTAACCCTTTCAGGAAGAGAGAATCTGCAAAGTTCCGCGCCATGGGCCTTAGAGTACTGTAGGTCCGTTATAACTAGACTGCGAAAGTTTGGTAGCTCCGTCTTCAAGCTCTTGTAAACTTTTGGAGACAATTAATGGCTTGTCTAGATATTTGAAATGTTCATAAAGCATTCAGGGCTATCTTGAAGAAGTTCAATCCCGGATGTTGTTGCGGCTGCTCTTGCAGGCCCTTCCACTATTGCTTTTTTGCCAGCTGTTCTCATTTCTGCCGTTGTGGCAAAGCTCCTCATCAACCGAGTCACCATGTGGCAAACAGCTTGGAATATGCATTTTAATAGACACATACGTTTACTACATTGCAGACAACTGGATGTTTTACTTGATTTATCGCTGTGTTGGGCCTTGCCAAATATACACATGCAACGCGTTTCTAATCGTGTTGTTAACTCTTTTGTGTACGCCAACAACGCTTCTGTGTAAGGTTAGGTGAGGTTTTGTGATCTTTCGGCTAAGTTTGCAAAAATGACCAGGTTAAAATGGCCACTACTCCTCTAATTAGGCTTTTTACTAAAAATAAACATAGTGGCACTAAGTGTTGCAACATTTCGGGTTGATCCTGCGCTGTACCACGCATTACAGGGGTGCAGCTGAGGAAGCCTTTCGTTTAAGGGATCGTAACCAACCATAACAATGCTTGGATATTCACAAGCACAAGAGGTAACCAATGACTCACTGCTGCTAGTTATAGCAAGCAGCAACTTCAACACGCTTGTGGCGAGTCTGAGCCCACTGACACCTCCCAGCAGCGCAGGAGATTTTACGTCTAAGCGAACTTAAAAAAGGAAGCATGTGGCATTATTTTTGAGACCGTCATGGTCCTAAGCAACTTGTAAAGGGAGCTCACATCGAGCCCGCAAAACTGCGACGCTTCGTGCATCAAGTTCATTGTTTTGCAGCGACGTAACAAGAGGGAGAGAAGCAAAAGAGCCTCAAACAACTGTCGTTGCCTTTGAAAAGAGAAAAGAAAGAAAAAAGCCTAACTGGAGCTTCTGCATTCACACTGGGTTCAAACTCCAACAGACCGCAGAACAGAAGGATGGCATCTCATGCTACGAGCAGGAAGTGCGTAGTTGTAAGACATGGGGCAACAGCTGAAGAAAACCGAAAAGATCATTATTATAGGTGGATGAAGTACATCTCAGATTAACTACAGACCGAGCTGGAAGAAGAACTGTGAATTCTAAAGGCTTGCGTATTACGACGAAGTATTGCCGAACTGACTCGCAGACGTGATAAAACCAAAGCCAGTGCTTCAGAAATAACTAGCACAAGTAAAGGGACATACAGAGAATCAGAGAATGAGAACCTCTAGTGCTCCACTAAACATTTTGTGCTTCACGCGTTACAGCGAACACTGCCAAATGCGCAGCTCCCTCGACCAATACTGCTTCGAACACATAACCGCATATTGCCGGGCCCATGGAAAGCAGGAATTAACGACCTAGAATTCAGCCAGTTTTTTCAAACAAAAGCGTAACGGCTGTGACGTAGACGCCTTCCAGGCCACACTCTGCGCCCTCCACCCTCGGCTGCATCGCATAAACTCTCCCAACTGCGCACTTGCGCTGCATGACTCCACATTTTTAGCCATTACGTCGGCTCGTTAAAGCGTTACCTCAAATGAAATTAGACCTTCCAGCACCACTGCAGCCACGCCATTGACTTTCGAGACATGGTGCAGCCACAAAGTGTCCCGCGTCGAAGACAACAACTACAACTGGCTAATGGGCAAATATAGCCATAATACTGTGCGAGTTTCTCCACTTTCTCCTCCTAACCAAACATGAAGGCGGATGTACACGGTGCCATATAGTTGAGAGTGGAAGCCAAGCGAGCACCTGTATGATGCGGCCGCATGCGCTGTTGCAAATATTCATGTTTCTGCAAAATGGATAGCTCCGCTGTGTGCTGTCTAGCAGAAAACGCTATAAATAACAGACTACATTGCGACTCATTTAGTGTTTCGTATTTAATGCTGGATTAAGTTCAGTTCATAAGTAGTAGTCTGCTGTTGCTGTGGGAGCAGACACCTAACTTCTTTTCTTCATGCCCAGCGTCGCCAGAGGCAGCCGTTCGATACTTTCACCATATACATGTTGAATTCAAAAGGAACCTAAATTTTCCACTTATTCGCCTCCCGGCGCTGCTGGCGAAGCCCCGGCGGGCTGATGGTTCCTGCAGGCCCTGCCGTTCGTCAATGGTAACAAAATACCTCTGAGGCAGCTCCGGTTCACACAACGGAGGATATCAGGCTTGCCTGCAGCATAGGGGCTGCTAGGTTTGGCGATGACCCTCCCTCCCTTGTCTGCGGCTTCACCGCTGAGCCAAACAAGTGCAGGTGTTGTTGTCGGCATAGTCATCGTATTGCTCTTCCACGCAAGTCTGTTTGTCGGGGCTTACTACTTCTTCGCTACTCATCTGTATCGCGACTATGAGGTCCAGCGGCGCTCAGTGCAGCACCTTTTCTGTGCCACCTTCACAGCTTGCGTTTCCATGCTGCAGCTTCTACTGCTGGAGCTGCTGCATATACTGAACCCCCACGTTCGCCGCATTGTGTGGAACTTGGACCTTATTTGCGTGCTTCTGTTGCTGTACGTGGTGCTGCCAGTCTCAATCATCCACAATGCGTTGGCGCCCAGTGCGGACTCGTTTCGGATTGCTGACTGGGCAGCGAAGTTTCCCCAAATGCAGCGCCTGCAGACGCGGGCAGCGGCCTTGTCGAGGCTTGCAGCCGTCTCTACTTTGGCGTCGTCAAGTGGCAATGGAGTCTTGTCGAAGCTCGGGAAGCTGTCTCCGCGGTGGCGAGAGTGGGTTGCAGTGGCAGTGTGCAGCGCCGTGGTGCTGCCTTTCTTGTGGTTCTGCTTTTGCCAGTCAGGTCGGCTGCTGCATCTTGACTCGGAGGCCCTTGCAGAGCTGTCCTATACAGAGCGCTTGCTGGCTTACGTGGGCGTGTGCGGCGTGACCGTTGTGTCTGCCTTGGCTGGCTTCGGTAGTGTGAACTACCCCTATCGCAACGTGGCAACATTCTTGTACCCGACTACGCAGGCTGAAGTTGCCTGTGTCGAGCAGCGGCTGCTGCACACTCTGAACCTCGTAAGCGAAAAGAAAAAGGCTCGACTTCATCTGCAGGCATCGTTGAACCCGGCCCGAGCTCGGCTGTGGCCAACTCCCACCTCCGGTGTCTTGTCGCCGGCTCCTGGATGTGCTCGGCCCCACCAAGTGCTGGGGCCTTCAACTTCGCGGCGGTGTCGAAGCGCCTCGCGGAGGCACCACGGGAACTTCGGAACTGAAGTGGCAAACCCCGTGGACAAAATGTACAGCGGAGGTAACTCTGACGAGGAACAAGAAGGCGCTGCTGA